TTGGTGCAAAGCGTAAGGGTGCAAAGTATAATTTAACTCTAAATTTTTTAATCACATTAATTTGGTCCTGAAACATTGATGAAGAAGATGAAACATAACATTGCAACATTGAGTGACAAAATTGACAAATTAAGGTTTTGTCTGATTTAGTTTTAGAATTATGATTTGAGTGTGGAATTGTGTTTTGATTTTTGAGTTTTTGAATCATGATTTGAAAAAAGAAAATTTGTTTGTTTATGAGTTTTGAAAATAGTTTTGGGATGATTGTATTTATTTACTTTTTTTTTGATTGATTGATGTATAGAATGTGAGAAAATGTGAGAGAACAGAGGAGAGAGGAGACATGAGAGAGAAAAAGTGATTGATTGATTGATTAAAAATAATAAATAAAAAAAGAAAAGAAATGAGTTTTGAAAGTAATTTTGAATTGTATTTTAAAAATTTGTTTGGTTATAAATTTTGATTAAAATCATGATTTGAAAAATAATTGAGTTTTGAAAATTAAACCAAACACTACCTAAAATTTTATGGACCAAAATGACAAAAAATGTATAGTTTAGAGAACATGGTTGAAATTTATAGTTATTCCAATTTAGATGATTATTTAGAATTGGATCAATTTGGCTAAAATTGCAAACTTAAAGAACAAATTGACAAAATTAAAATTTAAAGAACTAAAATGACACGAAACGCATATTGTAAGGACCATAAATGTATTTTATCCAAACAAAAAAAAACTAGTTTTGTGTATATCAATTTGGTTAAGTTTTCATGATTTGTTTTTGAAAACTTTTTAAAAACAAATTTGTTGAAAAGAAAATTAAAAACACAATATCTCATATGATTTTCTATCTTTTTAGTTTTTCTTTTTCTTTTTTATGTGGAATGAAAATAATTTAGAAAATTCAAAAATAATTTCTTTGGTGTTTAGAAAATAAATTCAACCAAATAGAGTCGTCTTTTTGGTTTCATTTTCAAATTCAATTTTCTGATTTTTTTGACTAGAAATGAGTTTGATTAAAATAAATACGAAAATGATTTTTTTAATTTATTAAATTATCTTTTCTACTAAAAAGTGTAAAAACGTGAAAATGATGAGTGTTATTTATTTATTTCAATAAATTAGTTATTACTATTAATTTTTTTCCAAAATCACATTTAGAAGACTCATGTCCCATTTAATCTCATTAAAATTCTTATAACCTATCCAGTCGGCCATTGTCACAAACTATATAGATGGTAATAAGTAAATATGAATATTCTTACCTAAACTAAACATAATCTATGCTATATAGAAAAATGCTTGGTGGCCTAAATTTATATGGCCCGAATGACTCAAATGTGTCAAAACGACGTTATTTTAAAACGACGTCGTTTTGACACATTCGACCCATTTGAGTCATGAATTTTTGGGCCACCAAGCATTACTGTACTATATATTATATTAAAATGACTTTTCGTAAGTAGTCTTGTGAGAACTCCAAAACTCCCGGCTATTTTTTTGAATTAAAATATAATTTTAAAAAATACTATTGCCTAACTCATTCAATAAATAATTATAAAAATATTAATTATCTCATGATTTATACTTCCTAGAAGGAATGATAAAACAATTTCCTTTCTTATTTGTCAAATTCTATTCTCTCATAAAAATTCAAAAGGAAAAATTAAGAAAGCTCCAAAAATAATATAAAATTATCAATTTTATGATTTTAGAAATTAAGAAATATACATAATAAAACTAAAAAAAAAATTAAAATACTTTAATTATGTTGGAAAGTAAACAAGAAAAATAACTAATGAAAATATACAAATATAATGAAAAATATGTACACCCATAAGATTTGGACTTATAAGTGAGACGTGATTTTAATTTTTTGAATAGGCGCAACCTGTATCAACTCATTAACTAATCAAAATCTAAGAAACACATTAAAATATGTGATTTGAACATAATAATTACGATCTAGATAAATCGAACCCGATCCATTGGTGACCCTTAATTGCCCTTTAATTGTCATATGCTTTCAAACATAATTTAACAACAATGATTCATCCCCCATTTTCTCCCACCCCCTTTGACCCCCTCTTTCTCGCATTGGTTACTTTTCTTTTTCTTTTTCTTTTTTTTCCTGCTCCTCCAATCACCACCCGCCACGTGACAAAGGAGGGTGAGGGGTGACCCCAAAAGGGGATCCCAATTCATAATTTAGGCCTCGTTTGGGAACAGGCTAATTTAGTAACTTTTTGGCTATTTGGCTAAAAAAGTAGGTAAAAAATTTTAAAAATAACCATTAATTTTTTATAATATCAATTTAATTTAACAACAATGATTCATCCCCCTTTTCCCCCACCCCCTTTGACCCCCTCTTTCTCTCATTGGTTACTTTTTCTTTTTCTTTTTCTTTTTTTTCCTATTCCTCCAATCACCACCCGCCACGTGGCAAGGGGGGGTGAGGGGGTGACCCCCAAAAGGGGATCCCAACCATTATTCATAATTTAATTCCTAATTTTTTATACATAAAACATGATCTGATATTACTCCTGGGCGGACCGAACGGGGGCTGTGGCCCCTGCAAAACTTCCGCAAACTCTATTAATTTATGTTATATTGCTGCTAACTTGGTGAAGTGAGAAGGGATGGCCCCTCCAAGGATTCCATCATCCACGTGAGAGGTGGCCCCCACAAGTTCATATATTTTTAAAAATTTGTAAGTAATAATAAAATTATTATTTATGTTAATAATTTTTATTGTAATTAAAAATTAAATCTGAAGAAAAGTTTTTGAGTGTTTTGTAAGATATTTTTATGTTGTAATTTTATCGTGATTTATTTATCTAGTGAGGTATGTAATTTCTTATGCTCATATTTTGAGGTGTTTTGAGAAGTTGGTATAAAGTTGACTTTTGACTTTTTATTAAATTTTTTGATTTTTTTGGAAGTGATTTGGAAAGTTAGTAAAAAGCTGACTTTTTTGATTTTTGATTTAATATTTTTTAAAAGTGTCACATCAGTCTAAAATAATCAAAATATCCTTACTTTTTAATTAAAACACTTTTTTAAATTAATTAATTATAATGTTCCAAAGAGTAATTTGGTAAATTTTTAAGTGACTTTTTTTTCTCTTCCCAAATGGGAATATCAGCGTTTTGGAAAGGTTGGCGTTTTGGGAAGGTGATGAAAAACGATGGCTTTTTGTTCAATTGCCAAAACGGCACTTTATTTAACTATGTGAGGGATGATAAATAATTATTAGTTTGAAACAATGTATGAGTCAAAAATAGTTGCCCCAGTAATAAAAATATAATAAAATTCCTCCTTATTCAAAAGACCTTCAACTTAAAAATTCTCATTTCCTAAAAACTCTCAATAATAAAGCTTTCAAAAAATTCATTCTCCAAAAATCCAACTAGAAGATTCATTTTTTTCCCAAATAATAATAAAGATTGTGAATAATCTCAAGATTAATTATAAAACTTGGAGAGGAAAATGTATTTTACTTTTAAATGTAAGAAATTGTTGCTTGTTGAGATTTCGTATTAAACCTCTTATTGAGCCGCTCCTATTCAGATGAATAATATTATTATTTTGTACAGCTACAAAAGTGCATTTTTTATTCTTATTTTGTAGAGCTATAAAAGTGTATCTTTTGATATACTTATGATTTAGCTATTAATAAAAGAATTACAATTTAGGAAAATTCTATTTGTATACTATACAAACTCTCAATACACTATAAATATATTGGAATATAAATTTTGAAACAAATCAAATGTTCAGATTTAAAGTTATGAACAAAAATAAATTGTTCAAATATATAGTACGTTCAATTATTTATGTCTGAGCAACTATTTTATGTTCATCAATCTAAATCCGAACTTTGATATTTGTTCGGAAATTTATATTCAAATATATTTATGGTGTGTACTGAGAATTTGTATAATATGCAACTAGAATTATCTTAAAATTTAATTGTGAAATTTGGATGCGACTCCCTCTAACTAAAATTCTTGCGTCCACTGCCCAATGGTAAAAAAACCTTGTCATTCTACAAAAAAAAAAAAAATTTGGGGGTACAAAATGATGTTTGTATGGTATTACTTCCTATTAAGGACACTCATTCTTTTCACCCTTTTGTGGTTGTTATTCTAATTTGTTATATGAATAAAATAATAAAAAAAACTGAAATTACATTCACTTCTTTTGAGATTTGATAAAAATATAATTAGTCTTACAAATTTAACATAATCACATTAACCTTTCTTCTAATAAAGTTAAATAATCAACATTAATGCACATAGTAGATAGACACCTAAATAAATAATAAAAAAAAAGGGGTAAATATATAGTTTAGAAGAAAAGACGAGATAAATCAATTTTTTTCATTTATACGACTCACAAATTAATGACGAAAAAGGACCCAAGTGTTCAATGAATTAAAACATCAAGGGAGATTGGTGCAATTATGTCAAAAGTATATATAGAGATAATTGTATTTTTTTCCAAACCTCAAGAAACGTGAATGAATTTACCCTTAAAAATATATATATATATATACATGTAGACTTTCAATCTTGTGTTTGGGGTTGTGTTTGGGGTTGTTTTGTAGTAGCTTTTTGGTTAATTTATATTTTTCTTTAGTACAAAGATTTACACTGTTAAGTTCTACTCGACTACATGGACCAATTTTTTTTTTAAAAGTAAGTCCACTAATTTTTTTTTTTTAAAAAAACTGCTTTTTTATTCTAGTGATTTTTTTTTTTTGGTTGGATTTTTTCATTATATGTATGTATTACTTTTTTTTTTTTAATTTTTAATCCTTCTACACTAGAGAGATGTGAAAAGTAAATTTGAAAAAATACCACTAAACTGACTGCTTTTTGAGTGTCTCCCAAATTAGAATTAGAATTACAATCTCTTGCAGTGGTTTGTGGTTATGTATTGGATTTTCATCTTGTATTTGTTTGTTGATTTTTTTTTTTTACTTTAACCGAAACAGCATCAGCAGAAGAACAAGTTAAAATGGCTGAGGGAATTGGTTTCTCCTTTTTGGGGAAAGCTCTGGGGGGAATTGGCGAGTACTTGGTTGCTCCGATCTGCCGACAGTTTGGTTATCTGTTTTGCTTCAACACCAACATTCAAAATCTTAAGACTCAATTGGACAGCCTAAAAGTGACAAGAGAAGGGGTTCAACTAGGGGTGGATGAAACACGCAACAATGTCAGAACCGTTGGACCTCATCTTGAGGCATGGCTGACTAAAGCAAATGACAACACAGCAGAGGCAGAGACAATTATTAAAGACAAGGCCCAGGTTCAAAAGGGGTGTTTCAGTGGGTGGTGTCCAAATCTCAAGTTGCGTTACTCACTGGGCGGGAAAGCCGTGAAGAAGACTCAGGAACTTGCTCTTCTCCATGCTGAGGGTAGCAACTACGTTCAGTCGTCCTACAATCCACTACCACCAAGTATAGAACCTATACCTACAACAACAGAATTCCAGGGGTTTGATTCTCGAATTCTGGTCATGAACGAGATCATTGAGGCTTTGGAAGATGATGCGATCCACTTGATTGGGATATGTGGGATGGGCGGAATGGGCAAGACAACAATGGCAAAAGAAGTTGCAAAAAGAACCAAAAATCTCTTCAATGAATTTCCAATGGCAGTTGTCAGCCAAGAGCCAGACCTAACTAAGGTTCAAGGGTGTATTGCAGACATGTTGGGTCTCAAACTTGATGACAGGGAGAGCCCGATAGCAAGAGCAAGTCTCCTACGCAAGAGGCTTCTGCTAGACAATAAGAAAATTCTTGTCATATTGGATGACATTTGGGAAGAATTTGATCTAGAGGAGTTGGGATTTCCTTTGGAAGGAGGCAGCAACAAGAGTTGTAAGATCCTTTTCACTGCACGAAATCGAAATCTATGGAAAGGAATACAAAATAAAAGGTATATCCAACTTCAAGTCCTAGTGGGTAGAGAACAATGGCATCTCTTTAGAGAGAAGGTAGGCGATTGTGCTGACCACCTTGATCTGCTACCGCTAGCAAAACAGGTTGTAAATGAATGTGGAGGTTTACCACTTGCCCTAGCAACTATCGGAAGGGCACTTACAAACGAACACAACCAACATCATTGGAATAATGCGCTTCAACAACTAAGAACCCCTTGTTCAGAAAGTTTGTCATCAGAAGTGCTTGCAAAAGTGTATCAAGCTCTATATTTTAGTTACAGTTTTCTAAAAGATGAGAGAGCCAAGAAGTTGTTTCTGCACTGTTGCTTGTTTCCAGGAGACTATAATATTTCTATCGAATATATGGTTAGATATGGAATTGGATTGCGGTGGTTTGAAGGCATTGACAAAGTGGATGAAGTAAGAGATCCAGTGAATGTCTTAGTTGATCAACTTAAAAGTTGTTATTTACTGTTGGATGGTCGTTTTGAGGGGCAAATAAAAATGCACGATGTAGTGCGCAATGTCGCCATAGCAATTGCGGCTAAAGATAAGCATGGTTTTATGACAATCCATGGTGCCAAATCGAGAGAGTGGCCAAAGAAGGCGACATATGAGCTTAACACTTCCATTTCGGTGATATCAAATGGAATTGTAGAGTTTCCAGGAGGATTGAGATGCTCAAAACTTGAGGTTTTACTAATAAAATGCCAGAATAGTTCACTAAAAATACCAAGCAATTTTTTTGAGGGCATGGGGGAACTCAAAGTTTTGGACCTGAGTATCACGGAAGGCATCTCGTTACTGCCGTCGTCACTGCAATTCTTGAGCAACCTATTGACATTGCATCTTGATCAATGTCACAATTTCGATAATATGTCTGTAATTGGAAAGCTATTGAATCTGGAAATCCTTAGCTTTCGTGGATCTTACATTAAGGAGTTTCCTGAGGAAATAGGAAGACTGGTTAATTTAAAGTTGTTAGATCTGACAAGATGTCATAAACTTAAAAGAATCACACCTGGTGTCATATCAGCCCTAGTCCAATTACAAGAGTTGTATTTGGGTGGCTGCGGAATCATTTGGGAACAAGAAGGCAAGGAAGGAGGAGAAAATGCGAGCTTTAGAGAGTTTGAATTCTTGTCCAATTTGAATACTTTAGAGATTAATATAACAGATGTCGTGTGTTTGCCAAGAATCCCATTGTTTAGCAAATTGACAAAATACACAATTTTGACAGGTTTGGATCCCAACATCACTATCGTTGAAGAATCCATAAAAAGGTTCCGAAAGCTTTTGGTTCTGTCTTTATGACACATGTACTGCCCCATTAGAATGCGGTGGGATCAATTCGTTGCTAAGGAGTACTGCACTTCTACAGTTAATGGGTTCGGAAGATGCAGTGCAAGAGTTGTTTCGAGAGGGAGTTGAAGGACTCCAACACTTGAAGAAACTAATAATTCTTGATTGTGCTACACCAGAATGTCTTGTTAATACAATGGAATGGGTCCCGTGTACACCTAATGCTAGTCCTCATATTTTTCCTATCCTGGAGAAATTAGAGCTCAATTTTTTACCCAATTTAAGAAAGATATGTCATTACCAACTTCCAACCGGCCCTTTTGGAAAACTAAAACATCTTGAAATCAAAAATTGTGATAGAATGGAAGAAGTTATTTGGAAGGAAAAAGGAGAAGATGATGCAGCAAACAAGATGGAGTTTCCAGTGTTAGAATCCATGACTTTGTGGAGTCTATCAATGCTCATTGGTTTTTGCAGAGGGACTGACGAGATTGAGTTCCCTCAATTGAAGAAATTGAGTCTTCGGAAACTACCACAACTCAAGTGGCTCTTCCTCAATAGCAGTAATCCGTTTTCAGAGTCAATGGAAAACGACAACGCTACCTTCCTATCTCTTTTTCTCCACAAGGTATGTGCACATGTCTTTCTTTTCTTAATGTCTTCTCTCTCTTTCTTTTGTTCTTTCTTTATTTTTTCTATAAGTAATCATGCTATTCTTGTTATGAGGACAACGAATCCATAGAAGCATCTCAATTACCCTTTGCAAAACTTTGTTTGTTCCACTTTGACATAGTTTCTTCATTCTAATAAGATTTGCGGTAAATAAATTTTATAAAAAAAAAAAAAGTGAAAATTGAAATCTAGGGAGAAAAAAAAGAAGTTAATACTATGTCATAAAACGTGATTATACAATAAGATCTAAATTTCTAAAGGAAAACTTTGATTAGCATTACCAAATATGAGATAAACTTCATGGGAAAATTATTCAATAATCCCGAAACAACACGTGGCCATACTCCAAACCAATCACCAATTATTTAGCCCCATATTGTTCTCCCATTCCCAACATAAATCGGGAGCCCCTACTCCTCTTTACCAATCAAAGTCTTATGGAGCAACTTCATGTGTGATTTTTATTTATTTATTTCTTTTTTCAAATAATTAATATGGTATATCCAGAAGTATAGATATGGATATGACATGTTAAAGTCATGCTCACACGCAATTAAAAAAAAATCCAAACAAATATGAGTAAATTACATTTTAGTAGTTTGATTGATGATACAAATATATTTTATATTTGTAATTATTCTCCCGTCTGTTGACCAATTTTTTTTTTACATTTTATCCATATCAACTATATGATTTTGCTCTCCTCAATTAAAAATTGTAGCACTTAACTCTCCTCCTCTACTTCTTCTTTTTTTTTTTTTTTTTTTTTTCAATTTGGACTTTAATGATGAAACTACCATTTCATCAATATGATAAATCACATTTTACCCTCTTGAACTATCTATCACCCAATCTCACTTGACTCCCTCAACTAAAAAATAATAAATTTATCACTTCAAATTATAAATTTATATCAATGTAAATATTTTGTTAAAGATATGTTTCTTAAATAAATGAAAATTTGACATGTGTCTTATACATGACATTTCAAAAGGAATGCCTAAAATGGCATTATCAGTCTGTTTGGTTTAGTTTTTAAAAACTATTTTTGAGTTTTCTTTTTCTTTATTTTTCATATATATATATATATATATATATATATTGTCTTTAATGAAATTCTTTCATATTTAGTTAAAACTTTTTTATTTTTAGGTACATGTAATCTAGATGCATCTAAAAAGTAAATATTTATGAAAAATTCTAAAAAAAATTTAACTAAAGACAAAATACAAAATATAGCATTTTTTTTCCATCATTAGTGAAATTTTAAAGATATTTCACAAATATTATTTACTTTTTAGGTGCATCTAAACATTAATTTTTTCTTACTAAAGTACGAAAAAATTAATCCAAAAAAAAACTAAAAAACTATATTTTAGCTTAAAAATTAAACTTTTTTTTTAAATTGTAGGTGTAGAGCGATATTGAGTGGTAGATATAGTTGAAAAATTATTTTTGACATGAAGGTACAAATTGAAAAAATAAAATAAAATAAAAATAAAAAAGAGGGGTTAAGTGTTCAAACTTTTAGTTCAAGGACAATAGATGAGGGGTATAAAATGTAATTTTCCTAATAAATATTTATAAATGTGTATATATATGTTTTTGCATAAAAATATTAACTATCCATTTTTTACATTATATATTTATGTTTTATTATATCGATAAGGAATCAGTTTTTACACTATAAATATTCAATATGTATATATATCTTACCAATGTTGTTATAACGCTTCGAAATAATCACAATAATTCAATTTCAAACAACTAATACAAGATGACATAATCGAAATGATAAGCTTTCATTAATCAAAATTGATATACAAAAGGTTGATACATGCGATATACATTAATAAATAGTTCATTCTGAATTTACAGCATTTATGACAAGTGGCGATAAGAAATGAAAGCTAAATAAATGTTCATTTGCCCTAAGGGTTTACATCATTCCAAGCCAAGGCTTGGGTATATAAAAAATGAGTCATAAGTTCTATATAAATAAAGCCTTAGACTTGTACAAAAGTTAAATATAAAATAAATAGCACCTAAAAATGATTTTTTCAATTAGGATGAGCCAAAACTCAGTAGAAACAATCTAACACAATATATGAATCTTAACAAAGATATAACTATGAGATGCATATCCAATGCCCAAGATAAAATCATTTATAATTCCTTTACAAAACCATGCCATGCAAAGCTTTATATCTCAATTCATGTTATCTTAATTCACGAGTCATTCACCAATTCATTCAGACAACCAAACTGAGGGTACAACTCAGTAGGTTTCTAACCAACACAACCATTATACAAATACTTTCATTTGCCATTTTACGGATATTTCGTCTGCAGGAATCGGCACCCATGTATACGCGTGGTTTTCGAGACTTTCATGACAGACACAGAAGCCAACTTAATTCAATGGAGTTCATCCCCTTTCTTCTCCTAAACATGGAGTACATTCCTTTTCTTCTCCCAAACATCATATATTTACAATGTATCAAAGGCATAGTCATATTCAATGACAATGGATAAGAGATTAGTTTCAATTCACCTAATCCTCATGTAATTTCTACAACAATCATAACTATTCTCCACCGATTGCCCAAAACTGATATTTCTAAACAGATATACAATCTCCAAAAAAGATAAATTACTCAAATTTCCATAGGCGAGTGGTAATACATATCCAACTCTACCATTTATATAAATATCCATCCAATTTCATATTCTCTGAGAGGGTAATTTTTGGTAAAAATTGGGCCGAGCTATGTGATGGGCTTTGTGGCCCAAAGTGCCAAGGACTGGAAAGGCCGCAATGTTACTCCGACCCAGGAGAAGTGTAGTTATTCCGGCCCAGGAGAAGTATAGTTATTCCGGCCCAGGAGAAGTGTAGTTACTCCAGCCCAGGAAGATATAGCTACTCCGGTCCGAAGGCAACTTGGAGTTAGGCCGGTCTCAGAGTTAGACCGGTCACGTCGTATTATTGTTAGAACGGTCAGAACCTTGCTACTCGGAAGCTCGGTTTAAACACACCATGGGTTGCACATGAGAAAATCGGGATAAGGATGGAGTAAAAGGTGGAACCGAAGTAAGGGTGGTTCGGCCTTCTCTGTGGCTCAGCATAGCCAGTTTTATTTCGGTCATGTTGTAGTTCGGCCATGGTAAAAACCATCTCACTTGGTTTAAGCAGTGAGGGGGGTGTAAAAGGATAAGCATTATCCTTAGGAGTATGAATCCTAAGAGGACTCTGCGTGGAGGAGTACGAGTCCTACTAGGATTGAACCATTCGAAACCTATAAAAGCTCACAAACATCACCTCAGAGGAGGTAACAGAACACAACATAATTTTGCTTCCTGAAAATATAGAGCTTAGTCTATTTGTCAAGTTTTCTGACTTAGGCATCGGAGAGGTTTCCGGCACACACCCGCCGGCTAGCTCACGTTTGTGTTTTCAGGTGATAAAGCGACGTCGTACGGAGGAGCGTGGACTTAGTCAACAGGATTATACGAGAAGGTGTATTTCTTTCCCGTACATTCTCAATATCAATTTCATTTATTTATACAAAATAACTATTTGAAACATTTTAGGGAAAAACTACATTTTCTTCCAAAATCCATCATGTGTATCAAAATTAACAAATTTATTACAACACAACCTCACATCTACTTTCATAACCATTTTTAGTACAAATATTTGAAAACCCCTCTTTTGATTTTAAACCAAAACCCTATGTTTGTTCAAAATCATCCCAAATTTCAATATTTTTTACATATCAACAAATAGCTAAGTTAAAACTCATAAAAGAGTGTAGAGAGTCCCTACCTCAAACTTAGAAGACCAAGAAAGCAATGGAGGAACTTCAAAGACGCCGAAACCAAGTTTCGTTCGGACCAAAATGGAGCTCTTGAAACGCATTACCTTTTTAACAAAGGCACACGAGTAGAGAAACCACTAGATTTAGGTGAAAATGTAAAGAGCATGTAGGTTTTAGAGAGAAAGGGTAACGATATAGGGTTTTGAGAGAAAAAGATATGAAAAAGTGATGTGGAAGGGTGTTGGTGCGAACTGATATATACACAGTCCACTCGAGTGTAAGAAGTGACGTTCGAGCGCAGAATGCACACTCCCAGTAGTTTTGCAGACAACAGACCAACGCTCGAGCGCAAGAAAGGCCGCTCGAGCTGAGCCCGCTCAAGCGCATAAAGCACTGCTCGAGCGTAGAATACACTCTCCCAGTAGTTTTGCAGACTTGCAAAAGTATTGAGAGTTCACAAAGCTTGCTCGAGCGTAAGAAGCGTCACTTGAGTGGAGGAGTAAAATTCTAGGCAACAAAAAACTGAAAACCAAGCAACCAACTTGTTCCAAATACAACCACTACAACCTAAAAGCCAAACTCAAGGAGGGAAAAGAGAAATAAGGCAAGAGCAACAATACAGAACCATAAAACTCGAGTCCAGAATACAAAAAAGGGTCAGATCAAAACCGGAATCGCTATAGTTGTGTTGAAACATAATTTTTTTTTTTTTTTTAATTTCTTGTAGTTTGACCTATTTGTGCATAACTCCTTTGTCCTTAGGAATTAATCTTTTGTGGTTTGTGAACCAAAATGTAAACTAAAAGACTAAAATATACTTGTACATAAGTAACGTCATTATGCAAACCACAAATATTTCGTTAGTGTTTTAGAAGGCAAAATTCACTTTAATATTTCTTGTGTTTTAATCTATTTGTGTTTTACCTATTACATCTTGGCATGTCTTTCAGACTTGTTGGGTGATGCTATGGTACATTTAGGTGTACCATACATTTAGTTATGAACTTATATGATTTTATATCATAACCTATACCATATTAGTCATAACTATCACCATATTAACTCATAACTTAGTTATATTCAATTATTTACTTATACCATATTACTTCATAACCAGGTCATTAAAAGTGACCTGCTA